TCCAACTTGACCCGAGTCCAGATGGCTGTAAAGGTTATTCCTGAATATTCCGTAACTGGATAACCTCAGTAAATAAAGCATGCAACCATAGCAAATATCTGTTGCTTTTGTAATACACCTTCTGACTTTCTATTAAACATTGCGTAAACATGGTTTGCAAATTTCAGCTGGCAGAGGGCTCACACCTCCTGGTGATAGTAAAAGGAAGTAAAAACTGATGGAGAGTCAACACAACCCCAGGTCAATACCTCTCCAAGCCTCCCCTTCTGCTCTCTCCCAGGAGGCAGTTTGGGAGTTAAGAAGTACTCTTGGTCCAGGCCCAATGTCCTTCAGCTGCCATCCAGCAATGCCTGGGCACTTCAGCAAAGTGCTGGTGCAATGAACATCATTGTTTGGGGTGCATAGGGGATCTTTCCCTCACCAAATGTGAGTGAAACACAACTATCTGTGTGCTTGTTGCTTTTCCTCCCTCTTCTATTGGCAATGAAAAATAAAAAGGTTTTGGAACAGACACTGCAGAAAGAATTTTCCCCAAACCTACGCCTTTATACACCATTGGAAACCTGCTCATCACAGATCAGAAGGGACCCTACAACACATTGTGTATGCAAACTTTTTGTCTTCCTATTGTCCCACTGTGCAGACAATGAACATTTGTGGTGGTGCTCTCTAAACTTAAGCCAGGGACAGAACAACATGTATTAAACTGAACACCACCTGAAAGTGCAATAGAAGGAAAATTTCAAATCCTACACAGTTCATTCACTTTACTATAGATACTCTTTTATTATACCACCATATAATTTTTGATTTCTCTCAAAAATATTTTTCGCAATGAAAAGTGATCACCACAGTTATAAAGAATACACATCACTTGGGGATTAATATACAAAGGTTGACCAAAAAAAGAAGGGGTTATGGAGAAGCAGAACATGTATGTCTCTGAGAATTTCTGGCAAGGACATCAAAATGCCTAAACTGTGGCCACAGCCTGCCACAGTTCTGTGTCTGCAGGCTCAGGATGTTACTTTTTCTTTTGTAGAAGAAAAGCCATTGTCTCTTCACACACCAGATGGCTCCACATGCTATTCCTTCAATTGGAAATACTTCTAGGAGTAGACAGAGCAGATAAATCCACTTCCAGTAGAATTTCAAGTTCTTCTCATCAACACCTTTCTGAAGACAAGAAGCAGCAAAGCTCATATTCATGTTTCAGTGACCTCCCTGCATCGGCTGTGCATTGAGGCTTTTCAATTGAAATGTCACCAGGTCTTCTCTGAACTCACCCTGCTTTTTCCTCCATGACCTTTATTTCCTTAGACAACCTGAAATTCTCATATGGCTGGGTCCTACATTGTATGACCACCTCAAGCTTTTTGCTGAGGTTTTGCTGTTGTTTATCAAATGCTTTGTTTCTGTCTTCAGATCAAACAAACACTGGGATGTAGGTACCTGGAAATTATTCTCACTTTCTATAAGATCTCCAAAGCTTCTGTAAAAATGGTGTAATTGGGATGAACAAGGTAGAATCTAGAGGTAGAGACCTGGATCTATCAAATGCAATGGCAGAACTCACCTGAACTTGAGAAAGATAAGAATTATAATATTATGTTAAAATATCCTGAAATACTAGGCTGCCTTAAGCCCCTATCTGCCTTTGAGTCATGAGGATAAGCATCTGTGCACCTGCTCACACACTAACAAAACACTATGGTTTTCTACAGTTCTTAATTTCCTATGGTCTTGTGGAAATTTTCTCGTATTCCACTAGGTCTCTCCAGCCAGGAATCACCCACTTTGCTCAAAAAATATATTCAGTTTTAAAAAATTGATGAAGTACAGTCATAGCTGGGGTTTCTGAAACCAGTATCTGCCAGCCACGTGTGTGAGTGACTCATGTACACTGCATGTTGTTTCAAATTGCACCGCACATACAAGTGACATTCTCATATTTAATGCAATATGAAATGCAAAAAGCTAAAATAGTAATGGAACATTTGAATTTTATAAAAATTAAATGTCTCAAACCACTTTTTCCTTTTCATTTTAGAAAATTTCATAATTTTAGCCTGGGAACTGCTGGTATTTCAAAATCTCTCATGCAAAAGATCTGCTGCAGACGGTGGCTTCCATTAGTAACATTCTGTCAGGTACACTGTAATTAGCCCAAGGATGTGCCTAAGCATTAAATTCTCTCTGACCTGCAGGCATCAAGCCAGTATCAACTCTGACCCTTCCAAAGGTCTATGTACATTTTACCTTTACCAAGTATTTGCCTTTCCCAATTCACCTGTGTCCCTGTTAGTTAGCCCCTTGGACTACACTGTTAGTGATGCCAAAAGATGCGAGGAAGTAAAGCAGTAAGCCAACTAGTTGGGTAATGTGTGAAGCTTCATACCTAAAGAAGCCAAAGCTCATATTATTTGAACTTTTACCAGCTTCAGAGGCTCTCACCCAGCTGTTTCGGCTGACAAGTAGCCCCAGTGTCATACGGTTGGCACAGAGGAGTGAAAAGGATTTGATTTCCAATCTCTTGTCTTACAAGACCAATAGAGTCTCTCTGCATTTTGAATCCACTACTGAGAAATTTATCCCAGGAAAAAAAGGAGCATCTGGTTCCCATGCTCTTCTGCTCTGTTGTCAGACAAAGCTCACTGGCAGAGGAAATGTAAAGTTTCAAGCAGTTGTGAAAAGCACTCTTGTGAAAAACAAATTTTGTGGGAATCCCAGACCTATCTGCCAAATCTAAGGAGTTTTGACACAGGAAAGGAGGCCTGTGGAGCTCATGTATACATCCAGACAACTCTGGGGACAACTCTGAAATATAAACCTGCAAAAGTCATAGACATTATAGAATGACGTTGGTAAGTTTTAAGTTTTGAATTACTTCCTTAGCAAGTAATTCCTTGGTCAGATTTTTAACCCAGTCACAGAGAAAGCCTAGCAGTGTTCCTATTATTTGTTATGTAAATATACTTTCTATAAATATGTTGTAATGACATTGATAAATGATATGGTGTCCTTAGACATACTGAAGTTTGACATCTGGCAACAGTGTCTGGGTCTGAGTGGATAACCATCTGGAAGGAGGATGCTTTCACATCTACCTGCTTAGATAAAGCAACAGCTCTGGATATTCCACAGATTCCATCCTGTAGCCCTGTGTTTACAAAGATAAACACTGAGGTACTTTAAAAAGATTTATTTTTTATTTTGTTTTTTGTAAATGAAGTCCACTATTACACCTTTTACAGAACTAGCCATGTACCTGAGATCTCCAAAATTATAGAACACATATATATTTGTGTAATACATAATATAGATATTCTAAAGAAATATAGAGTTGTAGAATCATACAATATCCTGAGTTGGAAGGGACCCACAAGGATCATCAGGTCCAACTCCTGGCTCCACACAGCATCACCCAAAACCAGACCCTATGTCTGAGAGCATTGTCCCAATGCTTCTTGAACTCCAGCAGGCTCAGTGCTGTGACCATCACCCTGGGGATCCTGTCCCAGTGCCCGACCACCTCTGGGTGCAGAACCTTTCTCTCACCCCCAGCCTGACCCTGCCCTGTCCCAGCTCCATGCCGTCCCCTCGGGTCCTGTCGTTGTCCCCAGAGAGCAGAGCTCAGCGCCTGCCCCTCTGCTCCCCTCGTGAGGGAGCTGCAGGCCGCCATGAGGCCTCCCCTCGGCCTGCTCTGCTCTGGGCTGAACAAACCAATGCACCTCAGTCACTCCTCTCATAGACAGGATGACATCCACTCATAGACAGGATGACAACAACATCCAAACCTGGGGATCATCCTTGTCCTGTGCTGACTCCTGCACTGCTGGCCTAGGAGCACTGGCTGTCCCAGACAGCATGCCAAGGATCTAGAACAGGCAGTGCTCATAGTACCTGATGCAAGACCACACCAACAGGAGCCTGTCTCCTAGCCTGGGGTTGGGAAGGCACCCACAAATTAATGCACCTCAGAGACTGTTTTATAATGGTGAACAGAGGGGACTAAGGCAAAGTTCTCCCAGCTTCATTTTAGTACTGCCTGTTCTGGACTCTAGGAGGACCCATCCTTCACCTTGTAGCTGTATCTGCCCCATCACAGGCTCATTAAGGCTCTTTCTTACTGTCTGGCTGTACAAAGGCTAGAGAGACAAAAGAATCTGGTAAGGCTCAGTCAAGTGCCATAAGTGCAGGTAAAATATGTCTCTGCATAAGCTGTGCAAGTTATTCTGCAGTCAGTGTGATCAGGATGCTTACAATCAATTATAGCATATACTTCACAGATAAGTTTGGTTAGGCTATAGTCACTAGTCAGCTTGCTTCAGGAGTGCTCCCTAGAGTGGGCTTTGCTCTTGCATCCACCTGGGTTGTCCTGCTGTGCTTTATGGTTTTCACACACTCCAGCTACACGCTTCCCAGATAAAGCTCGCCCCATTCACAAAACTCTCAGAAACAAAGACAATAACATGTATATGTATGTACCTGCCTCTGAGGACGGGTGATAACAGCTTTGAAGTCTGACCATGAATCTACCACCACCTCCTTCCTGAAACGATTCCCTTGGTTCATCACAGCTCCATAAACCTGTAGGATGAAGATCCAAGAGAAGTAAGACAGGTTAACACACAAACGTGGCACCTGTGTTATAAACTGGAGAATGAACCAGCAACACAGAGCTGAAGAGACACCTTTAGATTTTCATATACACACATTCATCACATAGATTGACACATTCACACCAGGTGTTATCTATCATGAAGATAATCGTTGATTTATCATGAAGATAAATCATTGTGTAATTATGGCAACCTTAATTACTTTGGAGGAGGTGGAGACAGGCTTGCTTCTTTCTTTCTTTTCTTAAATACATGGATTTTATTCAGTAAGCAGGGCCATGGGTGTATCTCAGATGTAGTCATATAAACAGCAGCTACCAGTCAGACCAGAAGAAACACAACCTTCTCCCCAGAATATTGATTTCCAGATAAATGTGCTGATGGAAGAACCACAGAAAACAACAGGTCTGTGCTGTGTTACCTTGAAGGACACAGGAAAACTCCACCTTAACATTTTCTCCAGCATCTGCAGCTTCGTGGAGCAGCTGAGCACCAACATCTTCCTTACAAACCTTCCTGAAAAACACACGCAAGGTCACTCAGAAAAAGCAGCAGTAACTAGTAATTTCATAACTGCTAATTTCATAAAATGCAATAGCTCCCACAAGTCCCTTGTTTCTTCGGAAGATGGATGTGAAGAGAACAGCAAGATGAGATCAGAAAATCTCAGGCTTAACTTGTTATTCTACACCAGCTTTTGTGCAACATCTGCCAGGTCAGTTATAGATAAGTTCACAAAGAAGTCTTTCTCATACATCTGCCATCAAAACTAACACAGGAAGGTGAGAGGGGAGGGAATCCTTACCACCAATTAACTACCACTTTTTTAAGCCTAGGTGTAACTGAACTATCTTACTAGCTACTAACTAGTAATGTGTAGTATGTTGATTCAGCCTTCAACATTTTAGGCTGTGATTTGGGACAGTACATCAGGAGATACTGTGAGAATGACAGCCACAAATCCTACATGGGAATAGCTGCCTTGCCTTGGTCATTTTATTTCTTACCAGTTTTGCTGGGAACCCAAACCAACCCATGCAAAACAACATAGCTATAGTTTGTGAGAGAGAGAGAAGCAATAAAAATGTATTTTCTCTTAAATAAGAGAAAAGAGTTAAAATCTTAAGGCTTTCCAGAAGTGCCACAACCTTTATCCTCTTTTCTACCTCTTAAATGTGTTCCAACTCATTTAAAAAACATCTCTCTATGCTGCATCAATCTGTCTTTGCTCCTTGTCTTCTTTCACCAAACATAAAAAATAAAAAAGTAGCCCATTCTCTGATCACATGTGCCTATCTGCCTTTCTTAAAACTCCCACACATCTTCTCACCTATATTGAAGTGGAAGCTTGCCTCTGTGTCGCAACAGTGCTTTGTCAGTACATGTAGAGCTATACATAAAGGCAGCACTGACACAGTTTGAGTACATGGCTACATTTATATAAGGGTAGTTCCTATAGCTCTATGCCTGGAAATACTTTCATGTTGAAAGTAAATATTGCATAGGTAGACCACCTGATCACATACCTGCCTTCATTCATAGAACCATAGAATAACCCGAGGTGGAAGGGACCCATAAGGATCATCGAGTCCAACTCCTAGCACCACACAGATCTACCCAAAAGTTTAGACCACGTGACTAAGCGCACGGTCCGAACACTTCTTAAACTCCAACAGGCTTGGTGCAAAGACTACTTCACCGGGGAGCCTGTTCCAGTGTGCAACCACCCTCTCAGTGAAGAACCTCTTCCTGATGTCCAGCCTAAACTTCCCCTGCCTCAGCTTGACACCATTCCCGTGGGTACTATCACTGGTGACTAAAGAGAATAGATTGGTGCCTTGCCCTCCACCCTCTCATGAAGAAGCTGTAGACTGCAATGAAGGTCTCCCCTCAGCCTCCTCTTTTCTAGGCTGAATAGACCAAGCCTTGTAGCACTTTCTCCAATCATCTAGATAAATAACATTTGAATGTCTTTTTGAAAAGCAGCAAATATGAAAATGTAAGAATAAAACAAAATTCCTGGAGATAGGATAAAAATTATATAATCTCCTGTATTTCTTTTTTTATTAAAAAGGTGTGAAAGTTGAAATGGAGATTTGCAACTGAGCACTAGATAAACATTTTTATTACATGCTTCAGGTTTAAAGAGGATTTAACTCCAAAATAAATGTTAGTTTAAGAGGTTCTGCTTTCACCAACTTACAGATGCAATATAAAAGCCAAAATATAATGGGTTACCTTACTATATAAAAATACACAAATAAACCCAAGTTCCACCTCCCTCCCTTCTCCTAAGGCAGTATATACCAACATTAGAAGCCATCACGGCTCAAAAAAATATTCTTGATCAATATTGATTATTGATCTCTTATATCATTAGAGTCCCAGAATGCAGATACAGATTTATGTTCAGCAGTCAAAACAGTAAAGCCATTAGGAACAAAGTGCCATTTCTGTGGACCAGCATCCCACTGCTCTACATTAACATAGAGTGAGTGCACTGGCATACATCATTTTGCTTCAAAGGAGACTCCATATATTTTGGTCTCTCAAAGGAAGTCCACCTTCTCATGTGACTTTCAATGAGGGTTAACATGTTCTCCATATCAGCTGACTGCTGAACAGCACTCATATCCTTTAAAAGACCCTTCTGACTTTTTATCTTCAGAATTTCTTCAAAAAAAAAATAGACAACAAATCAAAAAAATGATTACACTGAGTTCAACGGAAGTTTCACTACATCAGACATTCATGCAGACTCATTTAGATTCAGCTCATTTAGATCATGCAGACTATTTAGATTCAGCTAAAAATAAAAGATTCAAAGGCACAGAAAGAAACAAAGTTCCTTCCATCAGAGCTACAGAGGTATACTTCAGAAATGATTACATGCTCTCTAGAACCATAGGGCTCATAAGAAAAGACAAGTGTTCCTTTAAGTGGCATGTTTTCTAGGGTTTTGTTTTGTTTTTAAAGCACAAGCTCACTACATAGCCCTGAATGAAGAGAAAGAAAAGGGAAAAAAACTTTCAGATAAATTTCTCTCTGGCACTGTTTAAGTTATAAAAGCACTTGCTGTTGCCTTCCCTCTCATACCCAAGCTGCCTCTGAAAATACATTCCATGCTCACCTGCAAAGTGGGTGCCTGTAAACTGTACTTCGGGAGTTCTGGAAGGTGGAGTGCCCCAGTGCCACCTTCCTGGAACACCTAGATAGAAAAAATAAATAAACCTGAACTTTTAAATTTTGCAACTGAACTTGAAAAAATGAAAAGACACATTCTCAAAGGCTGATGAGTCCTTCTTTATACAACACTCTCTGCAGAAACAGCTCACGTGCGCTAGCTCGTGAAACACCTTCTCCTTAGAGGAATGCATCAAGACCTAGTGCCAATACTTTCTGAGCCTTTTTTTCATCTTCCTCTGTTTCTTGAGCGTCTGGATTTTGAACTGCAGTCTCTTTATAGTGTCTGCCATGTCTTCTGCTGATTGCTCAGCTTCAGTTATTTCTTCTTCAGATAAAATATAAACAAAAACAGAACAAAATCTGCTTTAGAAATGGTGAGTCTTTTGTGTTTAATATACAGCATAAAAGTCCCTACACAAACAGTCCTGAAGAATGGGGAAAAAAAAAAAAAAAAAAAAAAAGAAAGAAAGAAAAAAAACATATAACAAGAACTACAAGAAATTAACTTAAAGAATTAACATTGGTTCCATCTCCTGATAGTACTTTAAAAAGCATTGAGAGCTTAGTGTCTCTTCTCCACAGCATCAGCCAAGTCACAAGAAGAAAAAGAAAAAAAATACTCTGCTCTGTAGCTAAAGTGGGTGATGGTGGACACTGGACTACTGCTCCACAGAAGCACAGACATAGCCAGCAGTCCTTCTAATAAAAAGTTACAATGCACTGAGCAGCAGCATCACAAAACCTATTTTCTTCCTTTCCATGTCTTTCATACCTGCAGTTGTATCAAAGTCTTTTCATTTGTCTCAAGTATTTGTTTCTCTGCCAGCTGAAGGCTCAGGACATTCTTCAGCTCACCCAGCTTCCCTGGGGGCACCTTTAAGGTCTCAAAAAGTCTCAGCATCCTTTATAAAAGAGAAAGCAAGCATGACTTGTTTGGGGTTCTTTAAAAAACAAACAAACAAACAAACAAACAAACAAAAATACTAATGAATTCTCAGGGAAGAAACTAAATTCAGTTTAGCCCAATTGCTATCAGTGAAGTAAAAGTATGAAGACAGGAAGAAAAGCTGTCCCAGATTCTTTTCCAAAATGGAACTCCAAAATTTACTAACTGAAGGTTAGTAAACATGATGCCCGTCTACAAAAAGCACAAGAAGAAGGATCCAGGGAATTACAGGCCTGTCAGTTGTTTACTGTAGGAAACAATATCAAATACTTTGCTAAAGTCCAAGTATCTTCCTGTTATATACATCAAACTGTCACAGTTTACACACATTTGATATGGAGGTGCAGGAGGAGTTTGGCAAGTCAGAAATCAGACCTGACACATCACAAGTGAAGCATAAAAAAAAAAAAAAAAAAAAAGTTACAAAAAAATAGCTGCTCATGTTCATATCTTGATATACTGGAAGACCAAAAAAGCAGCATACAGGTTTAGGCCTGATATTCATAAGGGTATGGTATACCAACACACACAAAAATTCTCAGTCACAAACAACTGTTTCCATGACATAAAAAGACTTCAAGGTTATGGCCTAACATTTTTTTTTCCCCTTTGACTTCTCTTTGAATTAACTTCAACAGTCACAAAATGAATTAGAATTTAAGAAAATTTAGCTCACTACTCCTGCCTCTATCATAAAATGATAACAAAATAAATAGCTGCCAACAAACATAAACCCTCCTAAATAAGTATAATGCTTATTAAAGGAGCTGTTAAGAATACCTCCTTAGTCCTGCTACTTCTGTAGAAGTAGCTAAAATGGGTCTGGATACTTTCAACAACACTTGCTTGTCCACTGTCAATATCTCCCTCTTTGATTTTGCATCCACACTCTCTTCCAAGTTTTTCCAAGTGTGATGCTCCCAGATGCAATCCTCCAACAATGGCACAGAACAACTGGGTAAACCAAATTCCTTTTTCTCTCAAAAAGATGATTTCTTACCTCTCTTTCAACAAGTTTAGGTATTTCTGAAAATCTCCTTTTCCCCCACTTTGTTGGGGCAAAATAGATCTGGAACGAAAATAAAGGCAAAGTTTGTTTTTTGTTTGTTTTTTTGTTTGTTTGTTTTTTAAATCAGAAAGCCTCCAAGCACAGAAGGCATCAAGTGAAGTAAACATAGTCAGAACTTCCTTAGTTTTCCTTTTGACTGTCTGAGTGACTCCCTGAAAAAAAAAAAATAAAAGTTATACTAAAAATGTTGCAATTTTGAGACATGCTCTGCTGTGCAACAATTTATTTACTACCATTAACCCACCATAAGAAGCACTTGAAAGCACTTCAATGCTTGACATTCATCTGTTACTACTGACTACAAAAAAGGCTTTCTGAACTGTGACACTGCAATTCATCTCAAGCAGGTTAAGGAAAGCGATTCATTCTTCTTAGTTCCTCCCATTCCAAGAATGGGTCACGTAATAAGAAACACACAAGATGTTTGCCTAACCAGCTCTAACCACTGAACTCATGCTGCTCATAAGATAAGCTGTTAAGCAAACTCTTTCCAACAGTGAGCTGCCCAGGCCAATCCTAAGATATGGGCAGAATATTTTCCAGGACTGAAGAAATGTCACCTGAGCCAAAGGAACTTAGATTTCATCACTCTGTTCATACAGACTCTATGCAGGTCTTCAAAACTACAGCCAGCTTGTCTTCTTGTTAACCATCAGGCAACACTTCCCTCTGCTGACCAAACACGGTAGCACACACCTGCTCCCTGGCTTCCACAGTTCCTAGTTAAGGCAGGGGATCTCTATTATGGTTTTGGCTGGGACAGTATTAGCTTTCTTCCCAGCAGCTTATATAGCACCATATTTTAATTTTCTGACCGAGACATTGTGGATAACACTGGGTTTTAGCTGTTGTTGAAGATTGCTTACACAGAACCAACGCTTTTTCTGCTTCTCACACTGCCCTGCCAGCAAGGCTGGGGGTACACAAGAGGCTGGGAGGGGACACAGCCAGGACAGCTGACTCCAGCTGACCAAACAGGTAATCCATACCACATGACATCGTGCTCAGCAATAAGAGCTGGGGGAAAAGAAGATGGTGTGTGTGAGGGTATGGCATTTGTCTTCCCAAGACAATTTGTGAAGTCCCAAGACAAATGCTGTCCTGGAAACAGCTCAACATCTGCTGGCCAACGGGAAGCTGTGAGTGAATTCCTTATTTTGCTTTGTTTGGGTGCTTAGCTTTTGATTTACCTTTTACCCTATATTTATCTCAACTCACAAGTTTTCTCTCTTGTACCTTTGTATCATCCCCATCCCACTGTGGGGGAATGAGCAAGCAGCTGTGTGTGGCTGAGCTGCCTACCAAGGTTAAACCACAATGGTCTCAAAGGAACTGTCCACACTGGATGTTTTCTCAAGAGGACTGCCTTTAATGAAAGATATGAAATCTGTGAAGTCCACCAGAGAAGTGGGCAAATATCCTTCTTTCTTTCTTTGGTTATGTTTTAACTTACTTGACCCGAAAGAATTATTACCTTTCGTTTGTGAGCTTGTTTTCTTTTTTCTCCATCCGTTCCCTTTTTTTTGCTGGTAGGTTTTCTTGCTGTTCCCTCATTAGCAGTCTCCCCCCTTTTACTGGAAGATGCGGGGTGATGTTTCATTGTCTGTAAACCAAACAGCAAAGGAGGAAACAAAGAATCCAGCAATTATAATCCATCTGATACGAAGTGCACGGTAACAACCAAAACGAAAGAAACGCCAGGATACATGTACACAGGATACATGTAGCGCACTACAACTCCCAGCATGCAAACGCTGCGAGCCCCAACAGCGCAACAGGCGCTCCGGCCGAAAAGCCTGCTGGGAGTTGTAGTCCTTACAACCAACACCGCCTTCCCCTAACCCCCTGCTCCTAGCGGCCAACACAGCGGCAGCCCCCACAACTCCCCGAGCCGCTTCCTCACAACTCCCACCGGCTCCATGTCCCAGCGCCGAGCCGTTACCGACCCGTTTTACCCGCGCAACCGAGGGCATGCGCATAGTGGGGAGGGGATAACATTAAATTCTTAACCATGAGGCCATCAGGAATATAAAAGAGTTCAGAGGGAACAAGGGTGATTCAGGAGACTCCATGCAGTCTCCAGTTTCTTGTTCTCCAGCTGGTTCCATGTTAAGGCATGGATGTTTCTGGGTGTTTGCTGTTGTTGTTACATTCAAAGTTGTTTGACCAATGAAAAGTTGTTTTGAAAAGAACAGAAGAAAAGAAGAGAAGGGTATAAGAGGGGAGCCTGCCCTCAAGAAAGAAGAAAAAAAAAAAAAAAAAAAAAAAGAAAAGAAAAAGAGGCAACATGATGAAGTTACATCAATAAAGAAGCAGGAAAAAGGAGTGAAGAGGAACAGGCTGGCAGAATGGAGACCAGGACGGGAACAGGCACATTGATCGCCTCATGAAGATAGGTTCGGCCAAACTCAACAAACTGCTCAAAGAAGCTCGTAGAGAAAGTCGCTGGAAATGGGTGCACCGGAGCTGGAGAGAAGCTCGAGCTGAGAGAAGCGGAGCCGTGCACACAACTGCCTCTTGCTGGTAAGCAGCTGCGCATTATGGGGAATCATACGTCCTTAGGAACAAAGACTGTCCTGATAACCTTACAGCTTATTCTCCTTATTAACAATTGGACAGATTACGAGCCTGAAATATGGGGCCAAACTGAGGTCAAGGTGTGGGATTCTGCAACTAAAAACGACAAGGTTGCAGTGGGATTGCTCGGCACCTGGCGAGCAATCTCTGAGGCCTTAAAGAGCCCTGTGGGGCCACAGTCAGAAACGTGTGGTTTGCCAGACAGTGAGGGAGCTGTGGGCTCCTTTACTGATCCTTCTGCTACGCCATGGGCCCCTCTGCAGCTACAGCCATCGAAGGCTTTTGCTGTTCCGCCCCCTATTGACCTGAACCTGTTTGATCCAGGCCTATTAGCCTTGAAAAGGAGATGGATATGCTTTTCTTCGATCTGGGAAGAACGGGATACATAAGGCCTGAAGACCGAGTTGCTTAACAACTTAAACCGAGACATATTGTTCAGAAGGAATGGAAAATGGAAACTGTTAAGTCATGGAACTTAAAGGATTGTTTGTTACCTTTCCTGACTGTACGTATGTATAGGCATACTCGGGTTTAGTATATAAAGCAATGTTCTGTATATTTAGAATGTTTGATGTTTGTGTGTGCATGTTGGTGGAGCGTAGACTCCCTGCACACCCAGCACTGTTTACTTGCCTTTTATACCTTTTAGAAATATTTGTTTTATAAATATTACAAAATTCAGATTGAATTCAGACCTCATTTATAACACTTTGGAGACTCAGGAGTTGGACTCAGCGATCCTCGTGGGTCCCTTCCAACTCAGGACATTCTCTGAGTCTATGACCCCAGTGGAGAAGTGCTGAAAGGTGACAACCAGACCAAGATACTGTAGGTTTGCCAGGATGTATTTCAGTGCAGAAGTTTCCTCCTCAAGTCTACTTCAGCGAAGAGCTAGGGACGGCCCTCTGAGTGGTAACAGGCCCTGGTGGTGATGTCACAGCGTATCCCTCCTGTATCCCTCCTATATCCCTCTGCCATGGGTGCCAGCTGTGGCCCAGTTGCTTGTGGGGCCTGTAGGAGGAGGACCCAGAGAGAGCGTTGTGTCTATCTGGGGACATCCTGCTGCGATGGAGAGGCTGAGAGCCCTTAGCGGTGAGGGGCAGCGGGAGGGAGGTTGGGGACTGAAGCAGGACCCTGCCCAGCAGGCTGCTTGGGGCTGCGTCTCCTGTGGAGATTTCTCTTCAAACTGGCCAAGAGACTTGTCCCTACCAGCTCCAGCCCCCTGCAGCCAGCAGCACCGATGCCACCTGCTCCGTTCTTTCCTTCCAGGTGTGGGCTGCTGGCCCAGACGTAAACGTCGCCAGGGCAGAGGCAGGGTGACAGGGCCTGTCCCTGAAGTGGCCCCAACCTCTGCCACTGTTGTGACTTCTCTGCTAGAGCACCTGCAAGATGAGGAGGTGAGCTGGGGGCTCCCCACCATGATGCAGCGGGGTTCCCTGGGGGAGCAGGGGGAGACTGTGCCTGGTGGCACCTCTGCCCTCTTGATTTTCTCGTCCAGAAGTCCCGGCACAGGGCAATGCCCAGCCTGGAGCTTCTCAAGGAGCAGTCATTTGCCCGAGCCCCATCCCAAGGTCCCATAGGTGCCAAAGCCCAGAGGCCAGGGGATTAGTGTCCCTATTGCAGCTTCCCAGCCCCAGCAGCACATCCCTAGGCTCTGCAGAGCGAGAGCGGGCAGCTGGCGGCGCGCTGCCAAGAGGAGCAAAGCAAGTGCAACTGATCCCTGTGGTGGTCTGTCCCCAGGGTGACAGAGCGCAGACTTACTGCGAGCTGGAGAACGTCTTGTGGGGAGCTGACAGCTGCCTGCAGTGCAGTGTCATCAACCGGCTGCTAGCAGAGGTGTCCTGGGACCTGACAGCTGACCAGGTGGGATTGTGCTCTTGGAAGGCGATGGGAGCAGCCTGCCAGGTGTTTGAGGGAAATGCGGAGCAGCACAGCCAGGTTTTTCTGGCCTTGGGGCCCAACAGAGGCTCCCCAGTGGCCCTGAGGGATCAGGCAGCTGGGGAGAAGCCTGCCTGGGCTAGGCAGGGAGCAACAGCTGGGGAGCTGCTCGCCTTCCTTCCCCAGGGGACCAGAGGTGGCAGCCGCCCAGACCCACGTTGTGTTGTGGGGGAGTAGGGGCCATCTCCCCAGTGCCTCCAGCTCACAAAGTCCACTCGAGCTGAAACCCCGTAGCCGGTGCTGGCTGGTTCGCAGATCAGGGGATCGCAGGATGGCTGAGGCTGGCAGGGCCCTCTGGGTCCACCTGCTCCAAGCCCTGCTCCAGCAGGGCCACCCAGAGCAGGCTGCCCAAGACCGCGTCCAGGCGGCTTCTGAAGATCTCCAAGGAGGAGCCCCCACAGTGTCTCTGTGCCACTGCTCCGGCACCTGCAGCTGTTCAGCCCGTCCAAGTGCCTCAGCCTGTCTCCCAGGGGGCAATTCACCTGAGCCTCTTTTTTCAGGGTGGGACGGAAGACACGAAGGTGGCTGCCAGTGATGTTCTGGTGGCTCTGGCCCGCTCCCACTTCAGCTTTGTTCTAGCCGAGCTCCTGGCCCAGCTGAATGCCCCTGGGAAGATCTCCAAGGAGTTCGTCCTCATCACTGTGGGCAAACTCCTCAGCACCAACGGTACGGTCCAGCACCGCCATCCTCCCTCCCGCTTTGGGCCAGGCTGGGATAGCTGGGATAGAAAGGGATCCTTCCCCTCTCCACGCAATCCGTGCTGAGCTGGGGGGCACCGTGGCTGCAGCGCCTCCTCCCTCGCTGCCAGTGCCGGCTGGGGGCTCTGACCGTGGCCACTCTCCATTCTCTTCGCAGCCCTGGGCCATCCCAAAGCGTTGGGGGCACCTGGAAAGGGTGGGTGAAGGCCACGCAGTTTCTGTGGGCTGGAAGTGAACGTGCCCGGGAACTCCTGGGTCCCTTTACTGCCTTCCTGAGCTTTCCTACCGGGTTCATGTGCCCTGATGGGCAAAAATTTGGGAAGGGAAGGGCAGGGGCTGCAGAGGAAAATGCTGGAGACTGTGAGGAGAAGGTGTCCTGTGGAGGACAGAAATGGTGTGGTGTTGTCATTGAGACAGGGCAGGGCGCGGTGCCCTGATGTCTCGCTGGAGCACAGCTTACTTACCAGGTAACTGCAGAGCGCATACTGCATCTGGGGACTGGTGTACAGCCACTGCAGGAGAAACACTCTCTGTGGGATTGTACAGAGTAGGAATCTCACCCACTCCTATCAAAGCAAACGTCAACCAGTAGGTAGGCTGTTGAGGGATTTTTTGAAACAGCAGAAACCCCATGGCTTGCTGTAGCTGAGCAAACCAAGCTACCAGGGCAACTATGAAAAGTTCCCATGCCAGTGTTCCCACATCGCCCAATTGAGGAATTCAGAAAAATATTGTTACCAGTAGCTGGCTTCAAGGACAAGGTCTACGTGACTGCTAATCACAAAGGGGTTGTTTTCTTGGAGGTGGGATTGTTTTCTTGTAGTTGTTTGTCTGAGTGCTTTTGACCAATAATCTTGTGTGAGACACTGTCCGCCCCTGTTAAGTTCACTATAAAAGTTAGGCTATTCGGGCAATAAAATGGAGCATGATCTGACTCTACTGGTGTCTCGTGCTTTCGGCTGTGCTTCCTGCAACATATGGCACCCGAACAGGCTGAGACCTGAACAGGCCGAGACCCGGACTCGCTGAGACCCAAACAGGCCGGGAGCCCGGAGCGGTGCCCGTGGGAGCCGCGGAAAACGCGGGAAATTGAAGTAATCGCGGTGCAACGTGGTACATCTGAGATCGAGTTGCTACAGGAGACCAGAGGCATCAGTGGACAACAGCAACCGACCCTCACAGTGTCACGAGTTGGCACATAGCAGAGGGGCGAAGATCAGGACCCTGCAGCCTGTCTGACATAACCATGGAGGCAGCGGTGGCTGTGCTGCTTCTCTCTAGCATTCTTTTTATGAGAGGTTTATCTTGCAATGCAAAAAAGACTATTCGTCCCCAGATCAGTGTTATAACTATGTTTCTGGATAACATTGCGTGGGAATCTTAGATCTCCGTCTAAGAAAATGACTGATCTTAGAATGGGTCTAATTTTCATAAAGTGCAATTTATCAAGCCTTTGAAAATAAAGTTCCTCTCAAAAATGACCAGCATGAGATCAGGAACTATCTTAAAAAAAAAAAAAAAAAAAAAAAAGTGAAAAAGTGTGTTTAATAAACTATTATAAAGAGTGAAGTAAATGGAAATAGCATTGACTAGAATAACATTAATTTCTAGTGCTTCTAGATACTGTTGTTTATTGCAGATTTCATTTTTGTATTTTAAGATTGTTTGTATTTAAACCATAGCTATTTGGAGATAGTTTGCCCAAAATTTCTATTTGGAAAAATCTCCAAATGAGTTGTAAGGACATGTGTTACTGGCTACTGTAATGCTATGCAGATGTGGAGTCAGAAGCTATGAAATCCTAGCTGAGCAAAAGGTTGGGAATAGAACATGAAAATTAAATATATATAAAAATACAAACATTGATTTACACATTTTTTGCAGTGTTTAAAAGTACACAAACATGTCTGAAGATATATGCCTTTACACTACATATTCATAACCTAAGACATTTCTGGATTAATTATTTTCAACATTTAAGGTTGAAATATTTCTCTTAAAATCTGTTGGTTTTGTGATAGTTGATAGAAAAGCTTGCTTGAATTTCTTATTTGTTTATATATATAATCAAAATTGGATAAATGGACCAAAATATATTTCCTCTCACACTGCAGCTACGGCTATCAAAGAAAGGTACCTACCTTCAGGCCAAGTCGTTAGGACCTTTAAATATATACAGTGCTTACTTTTTCTTTCCAGTGATTCATTTATTTGTCCCTCTCCAGCCATCCAAGTAAGGTAAAAGGATGGATTATACAACTGGTCTGAATGTCACTAACGAGAACTATCTACAGAGCAAGACTGAGAGATGGCCCAAAGGATGAGGCAGCAAAGGTTGCAACACTCCCTGCAGTGCGACCTTGTTCAATTATGTGCACTCCAACAGAACAGGATAGGCCAACAGAAAAATGAAATATTCCTTCATGTGCAATGTGACTGCAGCTTTCCCCTAGACCCCTAGCTCCTGGTTGAGGCTGAGGGATTAAGTAGCACTTTGTGCCTTTCAGCAGGCGTTGTGTGCAGGCACTGGACACAGCTTGCTGAAATGAATGTTCTTGGTAGGGACCTTATATTTGCATCCACTCTTAACTCTGTGAGGCTAAACAGATTATGCTTTTTCTGTGCCTTCTCACAATACAGGCCTTCTTTTCTGCTGATCATCCTGATATTTTTTTCTCTTCTTCTATTGCATATTCACTGTTTTTGATCATAAATTATGAAAAATATATAACAATTTAGATGAGCTCCCACCAGTACTTTCATAACTGCATTACTGCTTACATAGTATAACTGGAAAGATCTTTCCTCATGGTTGTTAATCACAGAATACATGACTTAGTTTGCCTTTTTTACTTTGTTATCATTGTGGACACCCTGCTATTCCTGGCAGGTAATTAGAGGCCTTTTTCCTGTTCAAAGAAAGACAGAGAAATATGTATGAGAAATTACTCAACATAGGAATTAGTTGCAATTGAGTTTCTGCTATTTTCAGTGTAAAAATAATGAGAAAATAATGGGAAATTATAGTACTGATCCGATGCCAATGCTAAAAATCTAGTCACACTCGTATCAGCCTCCCGGCTAAGTCACAATAGCCTGTGTCAATCCTGCTACCAAACTGTTTGAAAGTAACCTTCCCTAAACTGTGCCATTTGAAACAGCTGCTGCAGGGATCACAGGACATTAAAAATGCTGCTTGTAAGGGATTGCTGCAGGTCATTCAGTTCTCCTCCTCCTTGAAACAGGACTTCTGCCAAGCAGGTTGCCTGTGATTTCATTCAACTGAGCCTTAAAGGTAGTTTTTTTCCTCATTTGCTCTAACAAGCGTTCTGTAGTGCTGTATCACTGTCCTAATGGAGAATATTTTCCTAAATGTCTATTCCGAGCCTTCCAATCTGCAATTTGCTTTCATTTACCTTGTGATTTACCATCAGTTATTTACTGTACCATTCTCGACAGAAAATTTCTCTAACCTAAACATTTCCAATGGTGGAGGCTCTATCTCCTCTCTGGCTTGGAGACAAGCTGAGCTTTCCAGTACAGTTAGTTAGAGATAGCTGAATCCAGTAGGTTTCTGGTCCCAGGGGAATTTCTCCTGTCCCAGCCCGATAGTTGCAAGGCTGCTGCATTTTCATGCCCCCATCTCCAGCCAGCAGTGAGTCTAAACAAAGTGGCTGTCTCAGTCTTGTCCCTGCCCTCCTGCTGATCAGGGCTAAAGCTTGCTAGTGGAATACACACACACACAATAGGATCTCTCCTGTCTTATGCAGTCAGTCCATCCAGTTGCTGTCCAGTGCAAGGAATTCTTTTTGCAGTCAACTTATTTTTTTTTCAATTTCAAGAGTTTAATGATTTGAGGGTAAAAGATCAATTTATAGTTATTATGAGAAAAAAAAAGATAAAACTGTACAAAACTCAGTGCATGTGTTGTAAACCAGAATTGCTTTCAATTTTTACATCCACTTAATTCACTTGTAAGAAGGTAAAAAATATCCATAAATCAGACTCTTTAAAAAAAATTCCTAGCTTATTTAAATTTTGTTTAAACTGTTCATAATCTCCAAACCCATTAAAATTCCTCACAAATGAGAACTCAACTCTAGAGCATAGATAGAAAACAACTTTATGTCTGAAATAGGCTACACACAGATCTTCTGTTCCTGAGGAATGGGCAAATTGTGTGCCCTGAAAGGTTAGATACTACTCTTTTTGGTTAGAATTAAGAATACTTTTCTTCCGTGTGTTATCATAATGTAGTAACGTTCACAGATCAGCAGAGTATTAATTACAAAACTATCCATGCACAGGACAAAATTAGAGATCAATTAATTCCAAACTCATTATTTAAAAAAAAAAAAAAAAGTGAAAAATAAAATTAATAAAAATAAAAGACTTCCATCTCTCCTTCCCTCTCTTCCTTCCTCCCTCCCTACCTCTCTCCTACCTTCCTCTCTTCCCATCCACAAACCTGCAAATAAAAAAAAAAAAGGAATAAAATTGTCAGAAATATTGGTGTATTTAAAATTGCATACTGTAGTTAATGCTCCTCCTTTGGATTGTTTTGACATGACAAATCTGCTTAGCTATTTTTAAAATGACCTAAGTTCTTTTGTTGTTGTGGTGGTGTTGTTGTTTAATTTTATTTAGGAATTAGGTATTTCCTGCAACACTTTTTAAATATATATTTTAAATATTTAATGATCTAATTTTAGACCCTCTTTGATTTTAATGCAAATTTTTAAATGCAAATTTAGCTGAAGGAATCCAGCTGAAGGAAGATTAACTCCATCTCAGCTCATGAAAATGTGCAACTGCATGTCTCATTTGAATCACTGTATTTAAACCTCATTAATTTTAATAACATTTATGCATACTTGTGTGCTTCTGGATGTAGTTTCAAAGTGTAATTTCTAATGGATACATAAAAATAATCTCCTAATATCTTTCCTTTTCCAAGCTTATATTCTCTTGTGTGAGCAATTTCATTGGGAAAAAATAAAAATAAAAGTAGCCAGATGAACGTATATATACATTGTATATATATGTATATGTACTTAAAACAAGTTTGCAATACACATAATTTGTCTTTAAATTGATTTTGGTATTTATACTTCCAGTATAGGCAAAGCTTGCATACTGTTGGATACTGTCTGGAATATTGAGCTCAAAGCTGGATAGAATGGTTATCAGACTGGAATGAGTATGTAAAGTTCAAAAAGAGGAAATCTAGGACTTGATACAGCATCTGCTAGACCTGATTCTGTTCCCAGACAATATTCTGTCAAACATTATAAATACATGTGGATTATGTCTGCCTTTTACCAAATATAGGCAATATTTTTTTTCCCTTTGCCTATTCAATTGGAAAATATGTGGTGTACAGTAGAGACAGATTTTCAGCATCATGTAGAAACCATGTAGCTCAATCCCTGCTTTTCTCTGATAATAGTAACAATTTAAATTGTAATGGCTTATAAAGAATAAATCAGAAACTAGATTGTGTGCCCTACTAAACAAGTTTTGTTTGGTTTGATTTCTCTAGGGCATACTAAAAATTAAGCATCAGGATTTAAATATCAACCCTGTAAATATGTAGTTTAAATGCTAAAATATATTTTTTAATACAGCTTGAATGGACTTTCACCAAAGGAACAATGTTTGAAAATATATACATAATTGAAATGAAAATATTTTTATTAATCTGAAGGTCCATAAACTTATAAAACTTACATTTTGACCTCAGTACAATGTATCCTCATGCTATTTTTATAATACTGAAATCAGGAAATTAGAGCTCTGATGAAACTCACAGTCCTGTAAAGGGGAACATCAAAACTCTGCAGTTTCCAGACCATCAGCTATAGCATTGCAATGAGCAACTAGTTAATCTGGAGTAAATTCTTCGCTATCAATAAAACCTTACTGCTTGGGCATTGCAATTTTTAATCCGAGTAAATACTTGTGTATTTCTGAAATGGATAGGTAAGAAATCATCCTTAATAAGGCAGGAAAATAGGAATACAATTTTCTGACAACTTTGGTAGTTGAATTCTCATCCCGCGCTTGCTAATAAGGTAACAGTGAGACATTTCCAAATGTTTTATGGAGGCCTTTGTGTAACAAAGACAAGAAAAGAAAGAAATTTTTACTCCCCAAAATGACCAATCTGGAATTAAAACAAACACATAGCAAAGGGCTTAAGTATAAATCCTACCTGTGTTGTTTTTTTGTTTGTTTGTTTTTATGTGTGTGGGGGGGTTGTTTGTTTGTTTGTTTGTTTTTCCTTTAAATCAAATTTCCACTTTGGATATAAGGAGCAGTCTTTATGAAATTTTCATGGAATCCAATTCACTTCAAAAAACAACAACAACAAAAAAATGTAAGAGTTAACTGCAAATTTTATGAGTAAAAGCCTAGTCCCTTTTTTCTCTTTTTTTATTTATTTTTAATTAACTCCAATCTTAATGGCCCTTCACCATAAATGAAGCTCGAAATAAATATGGACATCAAATACCCAGTTCATGATCTTTGCAAATTGTCACATTGTCATAAGAGCATGTATTAACCATAATCACTGAAGCGTAAGTTTTTCATGAAATATAAAGTCAGTGCTGTTGCTTATCCCAGTTTTATATTAAGGTTTTGTACAAGTTCCAGTCTATTGACTTTACTGAAGGTTCTCCAAGTTTACACCAATACAAATGAGGATGAGTAAGACCAATAGCCAAGGATATCTATTCCTTTTACAGTTCGGCAAAATATATGTATTTCAAACAAGAATGTTTTGGAAGTGTACTGCACCTAGGCCTGGATTATTCTCAAACAGTTTAACATTTATTCAGAAATGACTTATTTAGAGTGTGCATTATTTGGAAGCATTCCATGTAGTTCTATAATAATAATAATAATAATAATAATAATAATAATAATAATAATAATAATAATAATAATAATAAAAACATACAAAACTTAAATTCTAGGTACTAGATCATACTTACAATTTAAAATACGTTTTAGGAATAATTGAGATGCTAGACATTTCTATTCCAGATTGGCAGTTAACTGCCGTGCATCATGTCTCTGTATAAAGTAGTTCTAAAGTAATTCCTAAGAGGTTGCTAGAAAGAGAGAAAAAGAAAGTGCAACACTTTAAATAAACCAGTCCCAGCAGCTGCAATTTACAGCTACTGGCTATTCTTTTTGCAGTGTAAGCACTACTGAATATATTGTGTGAGTGAGTGTGATTTCTTTTCTATAAGTAGTAGATAGATCAGCATCAAGGACATAACTTTAATTCAAAAAAGCATAGTAATGTTCATATACTGATTACATCAAAGTCCTGAATAGACGTCTTTTAAAGGATACATTTTTGATGTTTAGCTTGAAGCGTATCAATGCTTTCTAAATTATTCTGGTGACTTTATTATATTATTTATTATATTTGGATATCCTGTCTCCACTGATTCTTGATCTTAGAGGATTCCCAAGCACAAACCAGATGTGGCTTTATGCTTGTGCCCGTGTGTTTTGGAGTAGGGCTACTATAGATTACGCAAACTACATTTGGAAATATATAATATCTGAATAGGAATATTTCAGATTTCACTCATTTCTTGTTGCCTGAATATCTGAGCAATTATTACAGGGTTTTCCTTTCCCCTAATCCCACAGGTTATGCTAGCTGTAGTCAACTGAACAGTTAGGTCAATGGCTCACGGTATTAATTTTATTCTCTGTTCTGTAAAATTGCTGAAATGATGCCTGGTTCAGTTTTGGCTTGATACATCCAAAATTTGGTCATACGATTCCCATGCACAGCTTTGGAGTTAGCACTGGACAGGTGCCATGTCCCACAGGCAGTGTGGATGCAGTTTCCCTGATTTAGAGGATTAAGGGCTATTCTGTGTTAGCAATTCAAACAGACCACATAGTTGACCTCAGGAGTACAGAACAGAACCTGTTGCTAGTTTACCAGCAGAGATTTAGCCTCAATGTCCACCCCACTTTGGAGAGTATCATAACTTGGTTCCCCACCACAGCAGTGGCATAGGCTTCACTATGGAAAATGTCCTCTCCTGCACACAGCGTTCTGATTCTTCCTGTTGGGAAAGGTGATCAAAATTCCTGTGTCCTAAAAATAAACCAGAAAGCTCATGTAAATAGCAGCACAAACTGCAGGAGAGACTTATAATTCAAGTTCAGTATGATTACTGAATTACCATTCTCAATTTCCAGACATCCTTCCGTTAGACTTTTAAAGACAACTAATTTGTTAAAATCATTATAATCATTATTTTTGCAAAGGAATTACAATGGCATTTTTAGCCACTTTCAGTAAAACAATTATGTGGGATTGTTTCAGATTCCCTGATAACTACCTGTTTTGGCACCTTTGCTGACATTCTCAGTGATGCTGTAGACCTGAATGACTATGAAGACTAGTGTGTACTTTATCCCCTGCAGGAAAAATTTATGTAGGCAGAATATAATTATGCTAATCTAAATTTGACCTAGACAGCAGAGTTAACATTAGTTTTCCTGGTGGGATTTTTTACTCCATAAGAATGAAATAATCTTTCATTAGATACTCTGGCAATATCTACATACTCAGCAAGAAGCATGGGTATGTACTGAGGCATAGTACAAAAATTTCAAACGGAAAAATAAGAAAATTAGAAACACTCTTAATAGTCTCAGTGGAACAGATTCCCAAGGGAACTCCATTCAGACTGGCCTGTCTACAAGTATTTGTTAAAAAATCCATCAGTTCAAAACACTCATATACATCACTAAAAACTATCAAACGAATAATTTAGAATTAATAACCAATCAGTAAAGAGCTTTAACAGTTCAGTACCCTATCCTCCTCTCCTCTCCTCTCCTCTCCTCTCCTCTCCTCTCCTCTCCTCTCCTCTCCTCTCCTCTCCTCTCCTCTCCTCTCCTCTCCTCTCCTCTCCTCTCCTCTCCTCTCCTCTCCTCTCCTCTCCTCTCCTCTCCTCTCCTCTCCTCTCCTCTCCTCTCCTCTCCTCTCCTCTCCTCTCCTCTCCTCTCCTCTCCTCTCCTCTCCTCTCCTCTCCTCTCATGGAGAGCTGTTGAAACAGCTTGTTCTGGATGCCATCTCCAAGCAATTGTTAAGATAAGAAGGTTATGAGGAGTAGTCAGTATGAATTCACCAAGGGGAAGTCATGCTCGACCAACCTCATTGCCTTCTATGATAGCTTCACCAGCCGGGTAGACGGGGGAGAGCAGTGGATGTCATCTACCTTGACTTCAGCAAGGCTTTTGATACTGTCTTCCATGACATTCTGCTAAAAAGCTGAGGAAGTGTGGGATAGAGGAGTGGACAGTGAGGTGGGTTGGGAACTGGCTGACTGGCCAAGCTCAGAGGGTGGTGATCGGCAGCACAGAGTCCAGCTGGAGGCCTGTGACTGGTGGTGTTCCCCAGGGGTTGGTGCTGGGTCCGGTCTTGTTCAACATCTTCATTGCCAACCTTGATGAGGGGATAGTGTCTGCCCTCAGCAAGTACACCGATGACACAAAGCTGGGAGGAGTGGCTGACATGCCAGAAGGCTGTACTGCCATTCAGCGAGACCTGGACCAGCTGGAGAGATGGGCAGGAAGAAACTAAATGAGATTTAATAAGAGCAAGTGTAGAGTCCTGCACCTGAGAGAAAACAACCACATGTATCAATACTGTCTGGGGAACGACCTGCTGGAGAGAAGCTCTGAGGAGAAGGTCCTGGGGGTCATGGTGGATGAAAGTTTGGCCATGAGCCAGCAGCATGCCCTGGTGGCCAAGAGGGCTAATGGGATCCTGGTGTTCATTAAATGGAGTGTGGCCAGCAGGTCAAGGGAGGTGATCCTCCCCCTCTATCCTGCCCTGGTCAGGCCTCACCTGGAGTACTGTGTCCAGTTCTGGGCTCCCCAGTACAAAAAAATTATGTTTGCACTGTACTAACACAGAACTGAAATATTTATTTGCTTTATACGATTCGGCCACTGCCATCTAAGTGTAGATATGCTAATACGAAAGCCAGTTTCCATGAACTACACAAACAGGGCCAGATTCGATTATGTCCAGCATCCGTGCTGCTCTGAAGGTAACTGGGTGTCCTCTGGACAGGGAGATTCTCCCTACAGTGTTAAAGGCAGACGAATATCAATACTGATAGTGAAGGAAACCCTAAGAAGCAGTGCTGCCCATGTTAGAGTTCCTGCTTTTTCCCTCCCTGCCCTTAACCTCAGATTTCTTCCAAGCAAGCCCAGGAAAAGAGGTCAGACGTGTGCTCTGCACCTTGGGCAGCCTTTGAGGCAGGGACACCATGATCCCATGTCCTCCTTTCTGTGTGAGCTAGCAAGCACGTAGCACTTTGCCACCCTGCCCCACTCTGAAAACTGAAAGCAGCACAAAGATCCAGCTCTCTCAGCTGCCTTCCTTCTAAAAGCTTTCCCCTTCTCCCCTGATCCTCGGGGAATGCCCATCACAGCCATTAACTTCTTGGGCCTGGTTGCTCTTTGTTCCATCTTCTTTTCTGACATCATTTCACCTCTGCCAGAGCATCACAGTGCGAATCCCCAGTGGTTCTCCACGCTGAGAAGCCCGGGCCCTGGAAGGAGGCTTTTAGGTGCAGGTGGACACGGGGCACTGGCAGCAGAAGGTGGCTGGAAGCAGCAGGAGCAGGGATGAGACGGGCGACCCACAGACGTGTCGCTGGGGCAGAACTGGGGCAGTCACCAGGGTGGCAGCCATCACCTCTCAAACCATCTGCTAAGGAAGGCAGCCACTTTTTGCCACCAAAGCAGACCAAGGGAATAGATGATGAAACTCAGCTGTGGTCAGAAGCTCCATTTCATGAAGGTCTTTGCATCCTGAAGTTTGGCCTCATTTGCTATCTCCAGTATTCCTGCGGGGATAAAAAATTCACTGCTTTCAGGTACTGCCAAGCCATGCATGTCATTCTACTCTTACCTTTCTTTGAGACAGAAAACCAAATAAAATGTTTTTTTGGCGAAATATAGTGTTCTCTACCACTAGTGAAGCGTGGTAGAGATCAAGAGATTTATTTCTAGATCACTGAAAATGCTTCTTTCCACAAAACTTCAGCTCTGCAAACCTAAGAACCTCAGCATCTGTTTATATTTTCAAAGAAAAGGCATGTTTCCACCCCAAAGGCATGGAGCACTTTGAAAACATGCATTGTACCTAACCTAAACCCACCACTCACACACTTGTGCCCAACCAATAAGTTGGTGCTGCTGTAGAATAAACACAGCCTGTTTTGCAGGCTCAGGTCAGGCAGAAGCTGTGTGTGTTCACATCCACACAAACTCTAGCATAAAACAGAAGTGTTGGGGCTTGGACACGTTCCCAGCTGCCTGTGAAAGGTCTGACCCGGCAGAGCAGGACCTGCACAGAAGGAAATTTTGCTCCAAGAAATGTCGCCATTGCATGGACAAGGTTGGGAAAAATTCTGCTTTTAAGGAAAAAAAATAAAATAAAATAAAATAAATAAAATAAAATAAAATAAAATAAAATAAAATAAAATAAAATAAAATAAAATAAAATAAAATAAAATAAAATAAAATAAAATAAAATAAAATAATAAAATAAAAATCCCTTGTCCTGCATCTCTCTGTCAGTAGATGGCTCTGCAAGCCATGGTGTTGCCTGGTTAACCATTGCATCGTGTGCAGAGCTAGGGTGGAGGTTTGTGTCCTTGTGCAGTTCTTGCTTTCTGCTTGGGGAAATTTGGGGTGCCCCAAAAGCACAAAATAGCCCAGGTTTTGCCCAAGCCTTGTTCTTCGTGACATCTTTCCCACTCTGGTCTTGGTTCTTCACAGACATCCTACCCATCCACTCCTCCCTGGCCATCCAGCTTGCAACCAGCACATCACCCCATCATATCCCACCTCCTCAGCGCTCAGGTGCCTTCATGGGACTGCCGAGGGCACCAGCAGGGCACCACTAACTCAGCAGCCCTGCAGCTCTCCCCTCCTGCCCACCCCATGCCCTCTGGCTCCAGACACACCACATTGGAGACCCTGCACTACCAGGCACTGCACAGGCTAAGGCAGCAGCTGCCCTCTAACATGCTGCAGAAAACACAGCACAGAAAAGAGTGTTTCATCATCTCTTCTCCGTGGCTGATGCCGTAAGCCTCTAGAGGTTCATTCTGTTTGATTTATTTTTTTTCCCCTAATCTCGCACCCAGAGTTTCTCTCTCTCGTGACCAGCACACGGTCAAAAAGAGCATCAAATTTTATAGATGATACATTCAGCTTCAGGATGCACGTCAATTTAAAAGGCATGCTTATGGAAATCTGAACTTGGAACAAGCAGGGCTGCATGGAAAAAGGAACGTCCTTTCCAGCTCCAGCCTTCTGCAGCAGATTGCTATGGAGATATCAGGGAAATCTGTCATGGGTGGCAAGCCTGGGGACCTGGGGAGTTTAAATCATGTAAACGGTTCATTACCTACACAGAAACATCCAGGCTGGGCATGAGGGGTTGCAGCTTTACCTGATATCTAGAAAAATGGCCTCGTTCTCTAATATCCTGGTACTTTGCCTGTAACAGTGCTTTGTGTCCTCTCCCTTTACAGCTCAGGGTAGCATTAAAATAATCTGTGTAGTTGTGTGGGATGGAACCATTCCTTCACTGTCTTGTCCTGAAGAAACCCAGAAAAATCTCATCAGCCTGACCTGCAGCGAGCTGCCCTTTGCACAGCCCCTGGGTGGGGAGCTCGGCCACAGCAGCAGACCTGGGCTGAAAGATGTCCCCTTCCCATATCCAGCCCCTTCTGAGCCTTTCCATCCCCACAGGACACACATTGTTCTGCCTGTGTGGGCATTTCCACACCTTAAATGGGTGCTACAGCACCGTCACTGTCATATTTTGCTGAATTTCTTGAAATCCTGCTGTCTTTGCTCCCCCTAGTTCCACTCTCCTATTTATTTTCCGTATGTCTGAGTGCTGGCGTTTATGAAAATAAAGCCATCGAGAATTGAAACAAGAGATTTTCCTACTTGAATTTCCACACAGAAAACCCCTTTTCCTTGAGCTGCCCTTGCAGACATTGGTGGTAATGTGCCTGGTGCTGGGGGTAACCTGTATGCACCGGGGCAGTGCCAGGTTCAGCGGTCACTGCATAGCACTGTTCAGGAGGGAAATGTAAATGGCTGCAGCCTATCTTCCCAGAAAATAAATAAATAAATAAATATCTGCATCAATCTACAGGGTCCCTGCCCTGCTTTACAACTCAATCCCATGCCCTCGGTGTAGGGTACAGATCCTCAGAGGGATCTGTCCATCCGCACCTTGGCTGGACTATGGGATGGGCACCTCAGTGCCAACCTGCCTTCGTGAGCAAGTTTGGTTGAAATATAAGGCTGTGAACTGGAGCAAGAAAGGCACCACGTGCCTTTCCATCTGCCCTTGCTGCTCTGCACTTGTGGGAGGCACGATGGCTCAGTTGGGCAGAGAGTGTGTTGTGGATGAAATTTTAACACGGGGTTGATTTAGCAGCAAGTTAAAATTCATTAATACCTCTATGGTAAATCACAAATTAAATTGGGTGATTTTTTCCTTAGCAGCACTTAATCATCAGTTAATCATTAGCCTACTTAACACAATAATTCAATAGTGCTTGCTACAATCAAAACATCGACTTCATTAAAATTTGGAAACGGCAAGGCTCACGGAAGACTTATTGCAAGGTATTGGGGATTTCTAAACAACAAGGTGTTGTGGATTTCTACACTTGCTTAGGACTGATATTTATAGGACCATGAGGTGGTTGGCTTTAGGTCAGTAAATTTCCATCCTGGCCATAATTCAGGCAGGTGATTCCTGTGTTGCCCACCACCTGTACAGCTCCAGCACCTCCCAGATGGCACAGTGCTGGCACACAGGAGGGTCATTAGGGGGTGTCTGCGGTCCCATCTCACTGCCCCTATAAAACAACAGCAAGCCTGAGATCCCACAGCTCGTGTGCACCACCGCAGTTTGTGTGCCATAGGAGCCCAGCTTGCAGGGGACATCTCATGAGGTCCAGCTCCTCACCACGGTCTGGTGGTACAGGCTGCCTACCTGCAAGTGTAGGAATGAAAGGGAAAAGCTGCATCTGAAAGAAATGCTTGTTCACCCCTTGGCAGTCTCGTTCCCAGCCTTATCTGTACCTATGTGCTCTGCCAGGCTCCTGGCAATTTGAGGCAGGCTTCGTGATATGCCCCTGGATGGTATGACATCAGTTATTCCTTCCCCTTTTCCCCTCCCTATGACCTCCATCATTGACCTCCTTCAAAATGTGACATCAAATTCAGACACTGGAGCCTGTCACTATAATAAATAACAAACCCAGCAGCAGTCTGCACTTACCTATTGTATTGAGCAGAAACGTCTGCCATGCTCTGTCCCAGCAGCTCCCCCTCCCCTGCAGAGCCCTGAAATCATTGAGAATCCAGTTACTTTTAATCCAAATGCTGCCAGGTATCTTGGAAACCAGATTTATCTTCAAAAAGCTGCTGTGTTTCCAAAACAAAACTGTGCAGGATTTTGGTTCTGTTCATGTTGTGATTTTTTTTTATTTTTTTTTTTATGAGACTTCCTTCCAGATCTGCATGAAAATAACTCTGCAGATACCAGCCTAATGTGAAGGAAATTGGGCTGCTCTGGCATTGTCAGCTCTCTCACCTCCTGTCTGTCATGTCTCTGGTTGCTGAGACGTGGAGGAACCTCTGTGCCAGCTTTAGGAAACATTATGCCCATTTTGCAGAAGAAGCAAGGTTGTAGTTGAGGACATCGAGGCCTTATGGTAAGCCAATGCTCAAGACTTTACATTTATTTCTGTTGCATTGCTCCCAGCAGCTTCCTTCTCTTCTACAAAAGAAAGGATTGGATCTTCTTAAGGTCTTCCCGTGGAGGAACCTCAACAGGGCAGTAGCACACACATGTGACCCTCTTGGGGTATAGGGTAACCCAGGCTGCCAAAAGGGATGTTCCATGCAACACCTGCTTAGCCTGAAATGGTGCAAATAGCTCCAGGCAACCAAATATCCCCCTTCCTTAAGTGACAGGGGTATAACTGGCACCAGTCAAAAAGCTTTTGTGGGTTTTGTGAAACATCATGGAGAGGGCAGTTTTCTTGAGAGAGGTGACTACCTAGGGGCTGTGAGCTTATGTTTTTTTGTAGGGAATTACTCTCTGCAGCAGGAAGATGCTCACCCTACAGGCAGCAGAAGACACGGATCCAGGTCAGCAGAGAGCAGATGAAGGTCACCACTTCCTAGGGTCCCTAGGAGGGCTCTGGGCGCAGAGCTGCTAACTCCAGCACCAACTGATTTTACCACTGCATTGAGAACAAAAATAAATATCGTTGCTGGTGAAAGCTGAAATTGCAGAAATTGGTGGGATAATCAGTACCAGCAGTGGCAGAGCAGTTGTGCTGTGGCTTGTAATTCTTCCAACAGCAAAGGATGAATGTCACTCCAAGCAGTAGGATACACAGGGGAATAAGGACCAGAGGCAGTGCATATAGGGTAGGAAGTGTGCATAGAAAAGGATTCAGGGGATTTAGGGGGATCATCTGTATCAGATCACAGTGCAGTGTTGCAGCAAAAAGGACTGAGAATGAAGAACAGATGGGAAATCTGTGCTGTAGTCAAACACAAGCTGCTAAACTCAACAGGAGGAGCTGGTTACACATTATAACTCAGTGTCACACAAGAAATCAAACGAGATGATCCAACAGGATGCAGGCTTATGATTTGTCAAGGGTCACACGAGATGTTTATTGTAAAGAAGCAGCATGAAGACATGTATTTCGAGTCCCATGGCCAATATTTGATGATTGGACTTGATGATCTTGAAAGTCCTTTATGACTTTGATGATTCCGTGATTTCTGTGTCCATCCTCTGAATCTCCCTCCCCTATATGAGAAACATCAACGTTTTCATTCCCTTTCCCTTCCTTTCTCTACTCTGTGATAAAGAGTGGGCTGACTGGGAAAGCTTTCTCTGTGGAAGGCTGCACAGAGAGCTGTTAGTGGAAAGCTGCTTATGAGGAGAAATTAAGGGCAGCTCTATCCTGACAAACTAAAACGTGGCAAAGAATGTGCCCCACAGCTGTCCCTACTATCAGATTGGTTGAATAGTCACTGGCATGGCTATCCCCAAAGAGTTCCTGGGCACGATTTGGGAATATCCCAACCCAGTTTGGGGATGCAGCTGCCGTCTTTGGGTGCTCGTGTGTGGTATCGATGTGGTCAGACTGTCAAAATTGGCTGCAGATCCAGAGAACAGGACCCTGTACTGAACAGATCCAAAGTTCAGTATTTTCCACCCAGCTGGAAGTGTCTCTCCAGACCAGATCTCAATGAATCATTAAAGAGCAATCCAGGCATTTTTTCTTCTATGTGTTTCAAACACATTAATGTGTTTGTTCAATTCATGTGTTTCCTCTGGACTCCTAGATCATAGATGGGTCCTTAATATAAAGATCTATCATCTGTAAATATTGGGAACTTATCTGGATAGAGAACAGCTGAAAGACAGCTGTTTTCTGTCCTTGTCTGTGACTATCTCCATCCTCAGAGATATTCAGAGCTTGGCCAGACAAAACCTTGAGCACCTTGATCTACACTGGCTCTGCTTTGAGCAGGGGTGGACCAGACAACTTCCAAAGTCCCTTCCAACATGGGCTACCATTCTCTGAAGACATCTCTTATTTGAGAAATGCTTAATGTATCAGAGGACAAGCAGTACACAGCAAATATTTCTGAACACTGCAAAACTTTGTTGCCCTGAGGCATCTCATGCTCAGTCTTACCTGGATCCAACAGAACTGATCTTCTGCAGACCTCACTGCTGTGGGAAGCCCTTGGGATGTGAAACGTGAGTTCAAAGACTGGTTCCAAAAGTTCTCCTGATCCCTGAGATAGTTGTCCTGGCTCTCAGACAGTTTGCTCCATCTCACTGCTCTGTGTTAATGATGGGCCACCAATTCAAAGGGGCTCAGAGCTAGGATTCGGTCTTGAAAAACACCCAAAAGAGCGACTGCTTGTGGTGTGCTGGTAGCACTTTATAATCTGATGTCAGAGCTGCTGCCCCAGAGACATGGGAAGTGACATGCAGTTCATCTGGAGAACCTGGCTGTGCTTTAACTGGGAGCTGCTCAGCTGTGCTCCTTGGGGACAGGGTGAGGAACTGTCCTCGTTTCCCTGGGAGTGTGTGTGACGCATGGGGCACTTTCAGAACGTGCACACGAGAGCCTTACTTTCACCTGGGTCCTGAGACCAAAGGACAGCTTCCTTCCCTCTCAGAACCACATCACAAGGGAGATCTAGTCAGAAAACACCAGAGATCAAAGATGGTTTTTGCTAGAGGCCTGGGAGGACTAGGGTTAAAAGGTCCTTTCCCATCCAAGCTTTTGAGAACGCTGCTGGAGGTGCAGAGAGAGGCTTCGTGTCCCAGCTGGCTGAGAGCTGCGGGACAGGAGGAGCCCCACAGATGGCTGCTCTGGACAGGGTTCACCTCCTAAGGCACAGTGGTAGGAAAGAGCCTCTTTCTACATATTTTCACATTTTTCACCAACATTTTTCCTGGGTTAAGACAAGTGCAAAGAAAGCCCAGAGTGCTGTACCTCCTGGTGAGATCTCCACAGGGACCTGCCCTGGTAGCCAAGGAAGGTGCATCCCCTGGTTTGGACCCAGGAGGATGTTCAGCCTTAGGAAAAGTGGAAGGAGGAGTGTGGCAGGCTTCCTGGGGCTGTTCCTTGTACAATATGTGCTGAATGCTCAGTGATTTTGGTACAGCCATTGTATCTGCTTCATGAACTCAGCAGAGGCTTGTAGACCTACCCCAAGCTAGCTGCTGTTTCTGCACGATGGTTGTTCCTCAATGTGGCCTCAGCCACCCCCATCTTTGCTCCCAGACTGGAAGGACATCCTAATGGTTGCATTAATAAGACCCACCTGGGAAGACCCCAATTTTCCAAGACCTCCTCCACAGTGATTTTCCCAGACATTCAGATACCCGAAATCTGCTGATTTCCTTGGGCTTCGCTGGCTTTCTCTGTTCTGGTGAGCTGGATGGTGGACACGTGTGGATGGTTGTATGGCTTCAGTGAGCAGCCACTGAGTTGCCCAGGCTCATCCCATCCCCTCTTTCCCTCAGCCCCACACCCATTCCCTTGCTTGTGTCTGCCCATGGTCATTAGGCAGCTGGTCCATCAGTGAGCTGGGGTCTCCTCTGCACTGGAAGAACTGCTCCAGTCCAAGCATGATGGCTTGAATGGCTCAAGTCTAGTGGAGTACTGGGATGGAAAACTCAGAGTGGAGGTTTAGCATGGTTTGAATTTTCCCCTGGGTGGTGGAGGTGTTCCTCAGACTGCATATAAGGCATATTTTAAGGCTGCGAGTGGTGTATTTTAAGAAAAATGTTAAAGAAGTGTTGTCTAGAGTGACAATGCTGACTTTAGCCAGAGAGGAACCACCACAGAGCCTGTGGGCAAGGAACAGCAATGCTGCAGACAGAAGAACACGCTTACTCCCTTGCTCTTCAAGCCCACATAGAACCTTCTGTGGCCATCCACCAACGTGGGCATCTTTAGGATATTTCCCTTCTGATGCCAATGTAGGAAGAGCAGTTGATGGCTGCAGCTGAAGCTATGCTCCAACATCGCCAAGTCAGGTTGACCACAAGTGAAAACCTGACAGACCCTAAAGAAATAAAGAAAATCTCAGCAACAATGTATGGTGAGCAGCACTTGACCAAACTGACAAACCAGCAAGACATGGAATGGGGTCAGAAAAGCTGCCTCAGGACAACCAGGAGGACAGGAGAGAGAGAAGAGGAGACAGTGCAGGGGAGACTGTAAAGCTCCTGAGCATGAAACAGAAAAAAATGTCAGAAGCTACTGATGGGCAGTTTGAGGGGCAGCAGGTGGGGCTGGGTAGCCAGGGGTGATAAGGCACATCCTGTGCTCCTCAAGTTCCCCTCAGATGTTTCTACGTACAAGGATACAGACATCATCAAACAGGTGAGGAGGTGCAGGTCACCTCTTCCTGAGGGAAATCCAGTGCCACAGGTTGGGGTGAGTCTTCCAGGACCAGATAATCTGAAAAAGGCCCTTGAGGGCTGGGCCAGCTCTTTGCTCCTGGAGCATTTAGTCCTCCAGCATCATCTTTCTCTCCCTCTCCATCACACGCATTTTTGGCATTGCTGATGCTCATTCATTTTTCACGCTGAGTACCCTTTCCCTGCTCAAAGCCTTTCCTAAACACCTGCTAATGAAGCCTCAGTGCTCCCCTCGGAGACTGGCATCAGGCACTGTTATCCCTGTGGCAAGGATTTGCCCAAGAGCATGAACCCGAGCAGCTCCAGGGTTGGACCCGAGCCCAGAGCCAGAGAGCCCCAGGGCTGTGCCCAGGCCAGACGTGGACCTCTGGAGCATCTCACCCCCATCCTCCTGGGAAGTACACGGGCACACACATGTGCTGGGTAAGATCTCCAGCCAGGGTTAGGTAAAATGTGCTTCTGGGCTGATTGCCTCTCTGTTTTCACACCCAAGTCCACTGCCATGTACAACATCGCAGATCAGAAGTGTCGTTCTCTGTCTACAGACTTGTCAGCTACAATTGCATGGATGTTTTGTTCCCTTCGGTCTCCCAGTTTAAGGGTACAAACAGCAGTTGCTTGGTGAAGGATGTGTGATATTAAATCCCCAGTGTCCGCAGAGTGGACTCATTCACCAGCCTGTAGATGCTCCTGTAGACTTGGGTGCCTGGCACAGAGCTTCCCAGAGCTGGGAGATATCCACACCCCAGAACTATCCGCCTCCAGCAATACTGCTAGCGTTATATCTTCCTTTACGTCTGCCTGCAATTTCCTAGAAAAGACAAGTCCTTAAAGTGTTGGAGCAGCAGCACACTGTGAGAGCAGAGGAGATGGTGGGGGAGCATCCCCGTGCAATGATGTTTGCTGCTTTCCAGGCACCGACTTCACTTGCAAGTGGCAGCAGGGTTGCAGGAGGCAATCCCTAGGGGTGGGAGCTGCTTCGATCTGCAGTGCAGCCCTCTGCCTGCCACCTTTACGCCCAGCTATTTTTTATCGTGCTTTCTTTCATGGGTGGCATTTCTGGGAATACACAAATGTCACCGGTGTATTAAAGGAAAGATAAATTAAATGCAGTGAAAACCCCTTAAAAATGAAAAATGCATATGCTTCACCGTATTTTTTTTATTTTTTTTTTCAGTAGCATTTTGCTTTCCTTGCATCCAAGCAGAAAAGCTACGGTAGGAACAAAACCAGCAAGGAAGGAGCTGAGCAGAGAGCAGGCTGGGAGCAGGGCATGCCAACTCTTTTACACCAATCTAACCTAAGCCCAAAGATGCTGAGAGTGGCCAAAAGCTTATTTCAGTGCCAGCTTCCTTCAGGAAAGGCTGCAGCCATTGCTCCCAGAGCTGCCCTTTTGCTTTCCAGGTCATCCGAGGTCATGGAGATGGGTACCAGGACTTGGACTACTGAAAATCCCCCTGAGTTACCCTAATATTGGAAGTTAAAAGCAGGTTTGATGTGGGTACTCTTAATCTACAAGCACTACCTCAAGTCACACAATTTATTTGGTGTGTCAAGGAAGAGAAATAATACTCACAGGGCTTTTTTTAGTAAGGCTGTTTTGGGGGTTAAAGCACATACAGGCACTGCAGTGCCAGGGGATGCTGGAATGTGGGAGTGCAGCCCCACAGCCTTAGCTGGCTGTTGGGTGAAAAACAAATACAGAAACAAGGAGGTGCAGAAGGAATTGAGTTTTTAGGTGATGTGTAATGATGGAGAGGGAATGTATGCCTGGGGAAAATACAGCATTGCTTTCCCAGACCATATGGTACCTCAGATTTGCTAGAGAAATGCAGGAATGGACATGTCTGGGTGAAAATATCAATGCCTTGAGACCTCATGTCACCCTGCAGGATCAGGCCCGATAACCCCAGGGTGATAATGGCTGTGATTTTTGCTTTATCATCTTTGCTTCAGCCCTGCTCGGGCAGGGGGGGAGGTCTGTCACAGCCATGGAAACATTTCTCCGGATTTTCATTTCATTTTCATCTCTTTGGCCTGAGATCACTCTTACTGCGATGAGTCACTGGGAGCACACGTGATTAGAGGTAGTGCATGGCCAAATGCACAGGGAGCACAAAGGAACAGTGAAGTGTGCCAGAAAGCAGGAGATTTACACCAACACTCAGCCCTGCTGATATCAGCCTGTTCACCAAAGCCCAAGTTGATTTTTTCCTCTTTGTACATGAGCAACTATAAAGCCAACACATACAGCCTACGTGCAAGCGTATGTGACATATCCCCGTGCCTCCACAATTTACCACCTTCCTCGAATTGCCCCTCTGCGAGCACAGAACAGATGTCTACGTTACACTTCCAATAAATCCATCGAGCATACCATTTTGCATGCAGACACACTCGTAATGTCTAGAAAATGGTGTAGAATACAAACAGAGGAAATAATCAGCTATTAACAACATCCTCCAGGATGGGGGAAGGCACGAAGAGCCAGAATGCAAACTGGAGATGGGAATTTGGTGCCTTGGAAGGTCTGTAAGTGGTTTTATGTGCAAGTCATATTTTACAGTGTAGCCACTGTGGCATGAATCTCTCCCAAATCTGCGTGTAAAAAATGCTGCTACTGAATTATTAGCTATTAATTTATATGCTGGATTCAAATGAAAATTACCATAATGTGCCACAGCATCCATAAATAAGAGCTCCAACAGGGGCAGAATGGCCTTTTGTTTCCCTCTGCAGAATTATATGCATGACCCAGTTTTCCCTAATACTGCAGCGGCAGGAGAGACATAGCATTGTTTGTTCAACACAAAATGGGGAGGGAGGAAGGGCTCTATTTTGCTACATACAGAAAATAAACTCTTGGATTGAAGAGGAAGACCTGAGAGAGGATGCTCGAATCTCTTGCTGCAGATAATATTATTTGCACCAGCACCTCACAACTGATTATAACATTTTCCTGAATTGTTCATGGCCAAGATGTGACTCCAAGTCCATTTTAAATACTCTTCTCC